GCGGCAGCCGGGGCCTGACAGCCGCCCCGCGCGTAGATCCGGGGCCTGGCACCGCCACCGCTTCTGGCCGCGTCGTGAGGGGAGGCCTCCGCTGCCGCGTACAGCGGGTGTCTGACGGGCGACAGCTTCGGTCGCGGGAACAAGCAAGAACAAACAGCCTTCACCACGGCAGGAGGAGAAAGACAAATACCGAGATGTAAAACGTGGCACGAGTTTACTTTTTACCAGCTGTAAAGGGCAGCGAAGCAGCACAGAAAGAGCATGGTTTGTGCTTGACGGGGCCGCGCTGTCAGTTTGATTATTTCCCTCTTTCTAACACCGCGAGTGAACCGTTTATTGCAAGAGCACCAGAAGCACGTTCACACCGCAGGCCAGTTTCGAGGGCTGCTGCTAGCCCGGCCCTCGCAAGCGAACTCTCTAGCCTTGTGTTTGAGGATGTTTTCCTTTGGCTTAGCCGGTCCGCTTGCATCTGAGTGTCTTAATGCAGCTTAAAAGCAGCTCTGCTTTTGCTAATGATGTGGCGAGGAGACAACTGCTAGCATGCTACAGTCTGTCCTGTGGTGACTGTGGTAAGCGTTGCTGTAGTTGCCACAGCAGTGACTACACGGGTTTTTTCAGTCCATAGTGCAAGTAGAGTATAGATGGTGCAGCTAAGCATTAAGTCTGTTAAAAAGATTTGCCATTGCTAAGTAGACAAATTTTTATTTAAAAAAAGAGAAAGGGAATTTCCTCCCCTCCTCTTAAGTAGTAAATGTATTTTTTGCTGTTGGTGGTTTTTTGAGGGGGTTTTGTTTGTTTTTTTTGTTTGTTTGTTTGTTTTTTTTACAGTACAACAGTATATATTTCTCACTTTTCTTAGATGAGATGTCTTACACCACTGCTGTTTAGTTTTTAATCAGGCAAGAGTTTCTGCAAGTAGCTCCCATGGAGAAGCTACTAGAAGTGTAACTGTTGGTTGGAAGGAGCACTCATTACCTGTCCTGACTTCAAACTCAAATGCATCTCCAACATGCTGTGAATGGTCTCTGGCTCTCCTCAGATGTGACGGGCACTAACAAGGGGCAACATATCGATGCATAAATGCCGTCATCACCTTATACCATTTGTGACAGAGAATCTCACATGTTCAAAGGAAAATGTTTCCCTTATACAGGAAATGTTCCAAGTTGGCCACAGAAGAAGAATGCTTTACAATATATAGTTTGATATGTACCTAAGGAATTATGAGAATTATATTCTCTTACAAAAAAATCACTTATGCAATATACATTAATGCATTTCTTCTTAAAAACCAAAATCATACAATCATGTGGAGATCATGCTCCAGAAACAAGGGGACAGGGTTCCCATCTGAAGTCCAGTAAAGTCAGTTGAAATCTTTTGGCAATCTCCAGTAGGCCCTAACAAGCTTTGCAGTTTTAAGACCGGAGAAGCTGCAGAGCAAGGCAACGCAGGAGTCTATGTGAACTTTCTCATAAACCGGAGTTTTGCATAGGCAATGATAAGGAAGATAACAGTCATGCAGAAGAGAGCCACTATGTTTTCCCACATTGCCCAGTTGGTAGGTGCGATTCCTTGGCTGCACAGGTATGCTTCACCAGAACACCTGCAGAAAAGCATGGGGCAGAAGTTGGTATTACTATGTGGTGCAAGTCTTCAGGTAGTTACCTTTATTCCTGTTCCACAAAGATTCTTCTACCCTCAACTCTGCAAAACAGGTGACAAATAGAGTAACTTCATAACCTATCACTGAGAAAAAAAAGCTTAAGGGACAAATCTAGATCTCTGGTTCTCATAATTTTTCAGTAGTATCTTAATTGTTGTTTATAAGTAGCTGGCAATTTGAGTAAACCTCAGAACCACAGTAAACCGTGATAAGTACAAAAGCATTAGTTTCACACAGCAACCATTGGAGGTCCATAGCAGGGGTTTGGGGACCAAAAGCTGTGGAAACAGCGCTCTAGCACTGTTCCTTGCAATAACCTCAGTTTGCCAGCCCTCTAGCACGTGTCATGAAATACTTGCGTTGCTACAACTTCAGGTATTGATAGTCAAGAGTATTTCAAGTGGAGCGGTAGCACTGGGAGATGGATACCTTGGCTCTCTGCTGTATCTGCAGGGAGGTTAATATTTACAA